AATTTTGCATACTAAATTATTTTTTAAAAAAATTCTTTTTGGTTTACTTTAAATTTTTTAAATTAATTTTTTATAAATTAAAAAATTTTAATATTTTTGAGAATTTTTTAAAATTTTAAAGTTTTGAAATTTTTTTTTTAAATTTGTTTGAATTTTCTTTTAAATATGAATTGGGCATGGCGTGGCATAATGTAAAATTGATGATATTGTACTAACTGAATTTTTTATATACGTGTTAGCATTTTATTGAATATTCATATTACGACAGCAAAAGGTACCTATATAATAACAACTTAAAAATTTAGACACGGATGTGATAAAAAAATTCTTTCGATACTAATATGACAAAAATTATAAAATTTAAGGACTAATTATGTATTTAACCCTTGTTGAAATGGTCATTAAAAAAAAAAAACCAATAATTGTCTAGAAACAATATGTAATTAAATTGATTTGTTAATTGATATATCAATTTAATCACGATATAATACAAAGAATTGTTAAGTAAAGATAATCAATGTGTCAATGGCACGATATCAAACGATTATGATTTCCATGTAAATATACATATAACTTTGGAGGACATTTCTTGTCGATAGTATAATGGATTTCGAAATTAATAATTAAATTAATTAATTTTAGGACTTAATTATTGGAAGCCAAAATTACATATGCCCTAAGATTCTCAAGCTTACCTGTTGAATTCGGTTACACCTGGTTAAGTCCTAATAAATTGAAAAATAGAATAGCCTAAGTTGTAAGATCATATGCCTAAAAATTGCTTTTAGAGCTAGTGAGAAATTGTTATGAATATATGCTATGCAAAGCATATTTCTTTTATTAATTTTGGAAATAGAATTATGAGAATAAAAGATAAGACATATTGTTTTGAAAACAAATATATAAAGCAAATAAAATATTTTGATTTTGAAATTAATTTTGTTTTATACTTGGATTCTTTGGATACATTCATCTAGATATTTATACTCTTTTTATACATTGGATCCTAGACTCCTTTTTAGAGTTTATATTAAAAAAACTTTTATTTTGGAGTTTGATTTTTGTATTAAATTAGATTTACTTGAGTTTGTTTTATGTATTAAAAAGAAAAAACTAAGAGGATAAAAACATATGCAAATTAGAAGATTTTAAAAGAATTTTCAAAAATCAAACGCACAAAAAAAAGATAAATAATTCTTTTTGAACTCTAATTTCGCAAATTAAAATTATTCTCTTTTAACATTGCTTGATATATTATTTTTCTTCGATATTTGATTTTTATTATTCATGAACAAATTTAAAAGTCGAAACACATCATTTATACAAATTAAGATTGAGAATTGTAAGAAAGAATTTTTTTTTTATAAGAATATTATGCAGCTAAACTCGACACAAACTTTAAAAAGAAATAATCTCATTGATTCTTTTATTGTTATGCAAGCCGTATTATTTTATTTGATGTTTATGTAATTGTATATATTAATTTATTTAAATTAAATTTCAAACTAAATACTATCCCAATTTTATACAATTTCCAACTAACTAAATATCCCAACAATAAGGACATTGTTTATTAAAATGTTTAAACTAATACTGTGATCATGTAAAACTTTTTAGATGTGGAGATTGTTTAAAGTTGCATAAAAAAAAAAAGATTGGTCAGAAAAACTATTAAAAATTGGAAAAATTGGAAAAGAAAGAAGAAGTTTGTAATCAAATTTGACTCGGAAGAATGAAAATTTGAAAATGAAAGTTTGTAATGGTTGAAAAGGTCATTCTTCACACATGTAGATTAGTTATATTATATGGAAAAAAAATTTTAAATATTAAAAAAGTTTATAAATTATTTTATTTTTTAAAATAAATTTATTATATATTTATTATATTTAAATAAACTTTTGTATTTTAATTTGTATCCAAATAAATTTTTAATTTAAATGAAAGAATGATTTATGTTAAGTGTTTATTTATTTAGGAAAAACTAAAAGTTTAAGGGTTTTTTTATATAAATTAAATATTAACTATTTATTTAAATATATAAATATAATAAAAATATAAAGAGTTATTTAAATAAAATTATAAAGTTTAAAATTGTTTTCTTTAAAATAAAAAATAAATAAATAAAAAACTTTCTTTGCAAAGGCGGATCAAATCGGTGGCCAAGGCCGTTAGGACTTAGACTTTTGTGTATTAATTAATATTAGCATAAACAATTATATCCACTTTTGTCTTAATTTGCGGCCATTGATAAAAACTTTGACTCACCAACCCATGCTATTTTTCTTAGCAAATTTTAATTTTTTTAGTCATAAGGTATTTTTAAGTTTCGTTCAATATTTTTTAGATTAATTCAAATAAAATTATTTATATTAAATTTATTAAATTAATAAAAAATTATTTTTTCGAAATTTTTTAACGAATACAAACTCAAAATAACTAAGAGAAGAAATTTTTTTTATTACTTTATCCGACATCAATTGATAAAAAAGTTTTAATTCAATTTTTTTAAATAATATATAAATTATAAATTTTTAAAATTTAATTAGAATTTAAATCAAACTTTCATAATCAAATTTTATTTGTTCGTTTTGATTTATCAATTTTAAAATTTTTTTATTTTTAATATATTATTTTAAGATATTTAAATAAATTTAGATATAAAATAATTATTTTTATAAAAATATAAATATATATAAATTAATAAAAATATATAATTCAATTATTTTTTTAACTTTTTATTTAAAAATCAATTCAGATACATTTTATATTTAAATTAAATAAAAAATATGAATTAAGATCAAATCAAACATTAAAATCTCAAATCAATTTTTTATTTTTTTGACTTTTTTTTTTTTACCCCTAACCTAGAAAGAAGGGAAAGAAGACTTCCATTATAGCATAATTTTATATACTCACTCGATTTTAGACGAAGGATATTTGACGAATAATGAAATTTGAAGGTCAAAGGTGCATAAATAAACGTGTGTCATCCGTGTCGTGGACACGAATAATTCAAGTTGATGTCATAGGTCCCCTGCTTATTTTCCAACTAACACTATCTTATAAACAACCCTCAATCATAAACTGAAAAAAAAAAAAATAGAAATGGGAAGAATTCATCTTGATGTTCCTAACAAAGCTAACAACAATATTTTCTATGATTCTTGTCCTGGTTCTACAAAAATATTAGTATTTCAAGAAATCATTTATGGAACATATACATTACTACTTTGAAACAAACACAACCTTTTGGTGATAAATCAATTTCTTTTTCTATCTTTTTTATGTTTTGAAGAAAAAAAATTATAGTTGTAGCATGATTTTCTACCAAGAAAAATTAAATTATAACAATTAAGTATTTAAAAATGTATTTAAGAGCACTCATTAAGAGTTATTAGCCAAAAAAAAAAAAAAACCCTAGTCATACTGTTGCATTTTACTTATCAATATTTGATTTGTTTTATCAAAATTAAGTTCCAAAAAATCAATAAAAGACAAACATAAAAAGGCAATAATATTTATTTCAAGTAATATTTATTGTCTTGTCATGTACATTGTAACAGATTTTTTTTTTATTTTTAAATAATAATGATACATTGAATATTGAGTTACATATTCTACAAATGTGTAAATTTTGAATTAACCAAAATTTACATTAAAATCTTATATTCATATACAATTATTATCATAGTTATTAGAATCAGATCAAATTATTAATCTAACTGGTTGAATCAGTGAATAGGCACTAAAATCAGTTCAATTTTATAATTAGATCAATTATATAATTAAACCATTTTAAACCGTTATGAATCAGTAATTTACAAGATAAATCAATAAACTAGACAATTATTTTTTGAACCGGACTTATTTAATACCAATTAATAGTTTAGGTAAAATATGAAAAAACCCTTCAACTATTCAAAATAATCAAGTTAAATCCTTTGTATCTTAATATTAATGATATGTATTATATTTTGAGATATGTATATAATTACATTAAAAAAAACTTATACATATGTAAAAATAAGTATTTTTTTTTTTAAAAATGACCTAACAGAAAAGTTTATTAATTGATACTATAATTAAAAATAATTATAAAATTAATAAAATATTAAATTAATAAAAAATGAAATGTTAATAAAAAAAGATTAATTATTTGACCATGATCAAAAGTAATTAATAAAAATATATATGTAAAATTAATAAAAAAATCTACATTCATATAAAAAATATAAAAATGATTTTAATTTCATTTTACTAATTTTCATATAACATAAGTGTTTCTTTTTTATTAATTTTATATATAGATATTTCTTTTTTATTACATAGAGATTAATTGTTATATATTAATAAATAATATTTATATTTTAATAAATATAAATACTAATAATTTATAATTATTTATTAGTTATTGTTTATTATATTTATTAAATATAAATATTATTTCTAACTATTAAAATATAGAAGGTGATTATAATAAAATGTTAAGTAATTTCATTTCTAACTAATAATTAACTGTTCTATAAATTTTATATTTTATATTTTAAAATTTATAATTTTATGATTGAATTATTAAATTATAACTTGAATTAAAAGTTTAAATTTTTAATTTTAAAAATATTTATATTTTTATAATATTTTTTATTAAATTGATAATCGACTCGATTGATCCATGTTTGAACCATTAATTTAGTGTTCTAGAACTTTAAATAATTTAATATTTGATTTGATAACTGTGATTATTACTTTTAATATTAATGTAAAATTAAAACCTTGGAGATAAAACAATTCAATTGTCATTCTCTTTTCGAAATTTTTTTTACATTAAAATGCATTTAATGATAGTAATTTAATGAAATTAAATTTTTATTTTTAAATTAGATAAATCATATTAATATATTTAATTAATGATAACTAAAAATGTTATTTTTTTATATAAATTAAGCAATTATTATTGAAATAAAGATATGAATCAGTATTTCGTTTAATGACCAGTCAACTTTGCGATACCTTTGACCCTAAACTAAAAACAAAAAGAAAAGCGAGTCCATCAATGCCAAAACAAGACATCCCTACCGACCGACCCTGCCTGATCTTTACGAGAAAAAGTGCATAGCCTTGAAAGCTTTTTCAGTTTCTCAGCTTCCGACTCCCTCAACTTCACAGCTCACATACTCGGCCTCCCTCCCTGCCTTCGCTAAAAGAATCTCTCAGAAATTGAACAACTTTTAGCTTTCTTCTTTTAAATATGGGAGGAAATGGAAAGCACAGATGGAAAATTTCATTTTCCAGTCGTTCCAATTCTTCATCACCAAAGCATCCAAATATCCAACCTCCACCCGAATTCCTCTGCCCAATTTCTGGGTCTTTAATGTTCGACCCCGTTGTAATCCCCTCCGGTCAATCCTTCGATCGAATTTCCATCCAAGTCTGCCGTGACCTCGGCTTCACCCCAACTCTTCCCGACGGCTCTACCCCCGACTTCTCCGCCGTTATTCCAAACCTTGCCGTCAAATCCACCATCCTTACCTGGTGGCGCGACCACCAAAACCTAGACCCTGCCCCACCTGATTACACCTCTGTCGAGAAAATCGTCCGTACCAAGATTCAAGAGCAAGGTCCTTCCACACTTTCTTCGGGTCCCGATTTTCGGGTCTCCGAAAGGGAACTCCTGAAAGCTGTTGCTCAAAACCCACCCGTTTTATTCTCACACGCGGCCACCGAAATAGGTCCACGTGTCAACAATACTTTCTGCTCCACCCCGTCGTCTTCCGATGAATCCGTTATCGTAACCGCCGGTAGTCCCCACACGCCGTTACCACTCGCCACCCGCCCCGCGTGTTTCTCAACTCCCGGCTCTTCATTTTCTTCCATTGAAATCATCGAATCTGAAACTCCAAACCCTAATTCCCATTCTTGTTCTTCGCCGGAGGAACAAGAGCTGTTCTTTAAACTTAAAAGTTCCGACGTGTTCGAGCAAGAAACAGGTTTGATTTCGTTAAGGAAAATCACGAGGACTAAAGAAGAAGCTAGGATTTCTCTTTGTTCTCCTTGGCTACTCTCTGCCCTCCGACCTTTGATCATTTCCAAATACAGCGTTGTTCAAACCAACGCCATAGCTTCGCTTGTTAATCTTTCATTGGAGAAATCGAACAAGGTCGTGATCGTACGGTCAGGATTTGTTCCTCTTTTGATTGGTGCATTGAAGGCGGGATCCACTGAGGCGCAGGAGCATGCTACCGGTGCGCTTTTCAGTTTAGCTTTAGAAGATGAAAATAAGATGGCGATTGGGGTTTTAGGGGCGTTGCAACCGTTGCTTCACGCGCTGAGATCGGACTCCGAGCTTACTCGGCATGATTCGGCACTCTCTCTTTACCATCTTTCTTTGATTCAGTCAAACCGAGTTAAATTAGTTAAACTTGGCGCCGTTTCGACTCTGTTATCGATGGTGAAGTCGGGGGATTCGGCGAGTCGGGTGCTCCTTGTACTGTGTAATTTAGCTGCGTGCACGGAGGGTAAGTCGGCGATGCTGGACGCCAATGCGGTAGCGATATTGGTGGGAATGTTGAGGAAAAGGGAGTTGGTATCCGAGGCGACTCGGGAGAACTGCGTTGCCGCGTTGTTTGCACTGAGTCACGGCAGCTTGAGGTTCAAGGGGCTGGCAAAAGAAGCGAGAGCCGTGGAGGTTTTACGGGAAGTGGAAGAGAGAGGGAGCGAAAGGGCCAAAGAAAAAGCGAAAAGGATTTTGCTGATGATGAGAGGAAGAGAGGAGGAGGAAGATGAGGAGATTGATCGGGAAGGAGGAGCTTTGGAATCGGGTGGACTCAGGCGGACTCGGTACCGAGTTAGAGACGCCTTTGGTGCAAATTCTACTAATTTCTAGTTCTTGACATTTCGTGGGTTGTATAAATGTAATTAATGATGATTTTATTTTTATTTTTTGAACATTGGAGGAAACTTAAATTACTCGTGTGAGAAAAAGGTTTTTCATTTTTGTTCATGATTTGGGATGTGATGTGTACATGTAAATTTCTGTCGGGGTTTTAGATTTTGGTAAAATCTATAGAAAAATCAATTTTATGTGGGGGGTTTCATTTTTTTTTTTTTTTTTTGTGCTTGCTGTGTTTTGTTTTTCCCCTTAAATCTCTACATTTTTTTGGTACCTAAAAATTTAGCATGCGGATAGATTTTCTCATTAGTATATAAAAGTTTAAGGTGAGAAGATTTTATTTCAAATAGTATGAAATATATATCTATTGAATATACAAATTATTTTAAAAAAACCAGACAATAAAGTCGATTTTAAATAAATATGCTATCTCTGCCAACTTAACCATTCTCCATCTGCAATTCTAAAGCTTTGATACTGAACAATGAATATTTGTTGCAAATAACTGAACTGGTTTATAAGTATTTGGCCTCTTTTAATGACAATCATCTGTAATAATTCTTACTTAAAAGCATTGAAAATCAAACATCATATCAGTTTCAGCAACGTGGTGTCGCCGATGTTTTAGGATAGTTTGACGTGATGCTTGGTTCATCGTCCTCCAATAAAAACCTAGGCTCCACTGCCAGTTGGTTAACACTGAAGTCTTGCTCTCTTTCGTCTCCAAAGTAGTCTTACAGCCTTGTAAATTGGGATGTGATTGATCACTAACATTCTGCTGGTCGTTAATGCAAGAATTAATATCACAAATAATTTTTAAATTATAATAAACATTTGATATAATATATAATTTTAAAAGATTTTAATATAATATTTAAATTATAAATATATTAATTAATATGATATTTATTTTTATTGTTAACTTTCAATAATAATGCATAATTGATAAATAATTTTTCGTTAAATATTATATTAATAAGTTTATAATTTAAATATTATATTACAAATTTTTTAAATTTAAATATTATATAAATATTTTATTATAATTTAAGAGAATTCCAGACATTACGCCTTGATACAATTACGGTAACATGGACGTTAGCTTCCTCCAACTGTCAAGACAAAGTCTTTAGTGTGAGATATCCTTGTTTGATTTGTTCTAGTCTTGCTCTGTTTTAAGATTTGTCATTTTGGAGAATAACTGATTAGACATCCATTTCAATGACAGCAATACTTTTTACTATTTCATCACATGCCCCGTTTGATTTAATTTTTTTTTAGATAAAAAGATAAAGGTTAATGTCATGCGTAATTTCTAAATTATAATAAAATTTTACATTTAAAATTTTTTACTATAATATTTAAAGTATAAATATATTAAATAATATAAAATTTGGATTATTATTTATTTGTTATGAATCACTATTTGAAAGCAACTATATTATAAACAGGGACATTAATCTTACTTGTATTCAATGGAGAACTTAATTTTTCACTCTAATACGGATGAAAATAGGTATCACATAATATATGAGGATTGAAATAGATATAATTTTAAATTTTTATTAATTACAAGGACATGAATAGGAATGGATAATATAGCATTCATCCCGTATTTATACCCTACATATATATTTATATGTTTATATATTTAATAAGTAGATTTTTTAGTAAATAATATAAATATTATTATTTTAAATGAATTAAATCAATATATTTTATATATTAATATATATTTATAAAAAATTACCTAAATATACAAGATAAAAATAAGAAAAAAAAGCTAAAAAATTTTTTTACTTTTTAGCTAAAAAAAAACTATGGATATTGGGATTATCCATATCCATTATAAATCCCCGAAAATGAGGATGAAGATAAATTGTTGGGTATGGATATGAGGATAATATAATATAAAACTTTAGATTTGGGAATGAATATTTTATTTTACTCATATTTTATCCATTGACATCTTTAATTATAAGTGAATATCACCTTAATTAATATATTTATAATTAAAATGTCACGTTAAAAATTTTTAAATTTAAATATCATATTAAAAATTTTAAAGTTTAAATAATATATCAAATATTTTACTGTAATTTAAAGGTTATTTACAATATTAACTCAAAAAGACAATAATAGTATACATTGGATCTAATAGGATTATGGGTTTATGGTTCAATTCTCTTCGGTTGTGGGCTAAGCCGAAGCAAAAAGGATTTAGTATAAGGAGGCAAAGTGGCAAAGATTTTCCAGTTTCCAGTGTAAAAGGTAGTTTCAAGGCTCAAGCTGAGGGGGAATAGAAGTTGGACAATCATCATTCATAGGTTAATTTTTCTTATTTGTAAACTCAACTTTCATAAATGCAGCCCTCTTAAGCAATAAAGACTACTTGGACAATCATCATTCATCAGGTTAATTTTTCTTATTTGTAAAATCATATGAATTTGAAGCTACCAATATTTCTTCTTCTTTTTTTTTTTTCTTTGGATAGGTTATTAGTATAAAATAATGGTGATTTGATCACCAATAATCTTAAATTATTATGTTTGGTGCAATATTATAAATCATTATATTTGGTATTACATAAAAAATAAATTATGAAATATAAAATTTCTAAAATAACCTTATAAAAAAAGTAAAAATTAAATATTTATTAAATCAATAATTTATAAAATAGTTAAATATTATTTTATAAATAAATCAATTTTGATTAAAATAATTTCTAAAAACTTATTAAAATTCATTATATGTTTTTAATTAATAAACATTTATTCAACTGTAACAAAAAATCCTTTTTTAAAATAAGTGATTAGAAATTTTGATTTTTGAAAATTTTTACTAGTAAGTTTCTTGAGATAATGTTACTAAATTTTTCATTAGGGTAACTTGGTCAAAAATAACATTGAAAATTTTTTTTCTACGATGATAAAATTTTCCATCATTTAAAATCATATCGTTCCTCAATGTAGTGATCTTATTATTTCAGTGATTTCAGATCACTACCACATAAGATTTCTAAATTGCTATAAAAAAAAGTGATACAATTATCAAGTATAGATTACTATAACTTTTAGACTGCTCACCCCATACCAAATGCTCTTAGATTAATTGTTCTTTTTTCCTTTTAAACTTTTCTCTTTTTTACCATTTTTCTTTTAATAAAAAATATAAATTTGATCATTCTTGTATGAGGTAATAATACGTGTAGTCCCTAAACTTTGGGCCAGATTCTATATTGGTCTCTAAACTTTAAAAAGTTCTAATCAAGTCCTTAATTGCCTAAATGCATGTCAATGTGGTCCCTTCGTCTGCTGGATTGTCTAAATTGATGGTAAATTTTACGTGAAATGACACATAATCTATATAAGTTGTATTACGTGAAATTTTTTATTATCCACTAAGCAAATAAAAAAGTAAAAAAAATGTCCACTAAAAAAATTAACCATCTAAAAAAAAGAAACTGATCAAATCTTGTCAATGTTTCGGGTGTTGAAAAGAAAGAAAAGAGCTGAGGGTTGAAAGAGATGAGCTACGAGTTGCCGTATGGAAGATATAGGCTTGTAAGAAACTATTATAATTTTTTGAGTGTTGAAGAGGAAAAGAAAGGAAGTTTGAAAGGGAAAAGCTAGGAGTTAAAAGTGAGGAACTGAGGGTTGAAAAAAGGAGTTGAGGTTTGAAATGGAGGAGTTATAGGTTGCCATATGGAAGATATAGGTTTGTTACCTATTTGTCGTTATGGTTAACAAGATCAAATTAGGACATCATGGACTGACACTAACCCAGGTAGTTGGTTTTTTTGTTGTAACAATTATGGGGTAAGAACACAACATTCTATTTTTTTTATTAATTGAATTTAGGGTTTTGACAACACAACAAATGTGCAATGAATTTTGAATATATAAACAAAACACAACTATTGATTTTGAATTTTGTAGATATTTAAGAACATAACAAATTAAAGTATATTTTTTTTTGAATATAGGTAGCAAGTAGCAATAATGAATAGCAAATTATTATTTTTATGATTTTTATTTCTTTTAATTAGTGTTTTTTTTATTCCTTTAATTTGGTGATGGTTTTTGTTTAAATTTGTAACAACTTGGTGCATGTAGGTTTTTTCAATGGTATAATCCTCTCATAGATGAACACAGTAAGGTAGTCATTCTTAGTTTATTAAGAAGGTTGTGAAGAATGGAATACTAAAATCTAGTCCCTTCAGATAATGCAAACAACAACAATTGCAAAAATAAAAACTAGAAGTGGATTATAATGTGTTTGTTTATAGTTATTTTGTTGTTGTTGTTGGACAGAAATTGAACAAAATTTAGTATATTGTTTAAGATAATTGGCTTGTAATATGTATGTTGTCAATTGGAAGCTGTTTATGTTTCTAAACTTGCATATTTTATGTAATATGAATATGTTTCATGGGTATTAATGCAAGTTTGTTCATAAAGTTGCATATTTGTAAACTTGCATATTTTATGTAATATGATTATGTTCACATCAGAATCAATGGAATGATTCTAAGGAATAGAACTACAAGCAGTTGACTACTGTTTGGTAGCAACAAGTTTGTAGAACACTTTCGTAATTAATGACTACTATTCACATACATAAGTAATAATAACTTTATTTTGTAGAAATGACTACAAGTTTGTATAACACTTATATACATAAGTAATAATTTCATATTTTCATTTCCAATCGCAACAAAATATAAGTTTGTACATGTAAACACCTTATTTTGTCTAGGGTTAATTTTCTAAGATAATTTTATTTATTTATTTATTTATTTATTCGCTTGGGTTTTGTTAAATTAAAAAAAAAAGTTTGATTTAGTTTGAAGTTTAGTGTTTTAGTTGAAAAAGGGAATGTATTGGGTTGAGAGGTGGATTGGATTAAAAAATCCAAAGTTGAATTTGATTAGGAGATTGAAACAAAAAAAACCTTCTCCTATTGTGATTTGGATTAAAGGACTATAAAAAAACCCATTGGAATTCATAGGGATTCAAAAACAATTAAGAAAGAATAAAAAAATATAAAAAAAAAGTAAGAAAAATTCTAGTAGTAATTTTTTTTAAAGTTTTGATTTTGTTAAGTTTTGAAAATCTCTTCTTAATCTTGGGTTGAAATTTTCTGTAGAATTCAAAGAGGGTTTAGATGACAATCAACGACAAAAGGTGGAATAGTAAGCAACAAGTTGTTGGATTTTGGAGAAAGAAATGGGGTTATTGGCAGGAAGCATAAAAATGGGAAAGAAGCTAGAGACTTCTAAGAGAGTGGAAAAGTCAAAAAGTTGGGGCCATTTGTTTGATTCAAAAGCTTTGGGTTTTAACCCAAAATTTGGTAATTGGTTTTTTTTTTCTTTTCAATTTTTCACTTGCTTGTATGTTTATTTATTTACTTATTCATATGTCACATGTTAGAATTTCTAGATTAGGAATATATTTATAGATTATTTGAAAGTAAGTAAAAAGTGAAAATTTTAATTTTTAAAATGAAAAATGATGAAAATTTAAGAAAATTATGAGTGTATAATTTCCTTAGAAATTTCTAGGTGAGAAAACTTTTTTAGATTCGGTTAAGGCATTGGAGAATTTAGAAATTAGTTTCAATGTCATAATTTTTATTTATTTCTAATTTGGAAAATCAAAATTGAAAATAAATTATGGTGATTTAATTGCATGATTATTTAAATTATGATTACATGATTATTGTATTTTATTGAATTGTGTATTTTTATTTTATTGGATTGGGTATTTTATTATGAATTTATATGCATCTCTTTTTCATAAAATATTTAATAATCTGATGAAAAAGTCTCTTCAAGGAAACAAATTTGTTACTTGAATACTCTTGAGGTGAGGAATATTTTTAGGGGTTTAACCAAAATGTTGGAGAAAACCTAAAAATTTATCCAATATTAAAATGAATTAGGAATAAGAGACCATTAAATTAAAGCCTTAAAATAATTTAAGATTAATTGGTACAAATTTGTGGGCATTGCAGAGGTACTATAACCTTCATTGCATGCAATCGAACTCCTGAACCCAATTCTGTTTAGAAGATCAAAACATATTCTTTTTAGGGACCTTTTAGTTTACACTTAGGACAACCTTAGAAATGATAGATTCACTTAGGTGGCCAATCACACCTAGTTAAAAAAAATTGGTGGTGACTTAATGTTTTGTGTCTAATGGGTTAGTTTTTGGACTATACATGTTATGACAGTTTCATGACTCCATTAGAGACTTAGAAAGTTGAGCTAGTTTTTAATCTTAGATTATTTCAAGCCTTATTTGGATGGTTTTAATGAACTTATTTTTGTTATATTTCTTCATGTTTAGTAATTTGTTTGTTCGTTGTGTTTAATTTATCTATTTGAACAACAAAGTTTGTTAAATTATTTCTTATGTTCTTTACCACACACTGCACATGTATTTCATACATAAACTCTTTACCCAAACTTTGTCTTTTTTTAGGAGGAAGCAAGTATCTACACTTTTGTAAGGTGATAATTTTCATGTGACCTAGTGAAAACTCTTATTTAAATTTAACCTTTTCCATTTGAAGCCTATCATGGGTGAGGATTGGGGTGCTTCACTAGTTTGTAATGGACAATGATGTAGGAAATAATTTGAGAACCGTTAGATTATCAAAATATCCTAACCCTGCATATAGAATAACCTAAGAAGCCAACCTTAGGTTAAACCCATATCCATCCAGTATTAGTATATAACCTAAGATTAAGACACAAGAAGGAACTTTTGTAGTTTCATTTGTATGAATTTTGTGATGAAGGTGAAAGAGTTTGGGTTTTTTTAGTCTTTCATGTGTTGTTATGTGGCAAATATTAACACATTCATACATTTATCCATTCATGCATCATTGAATTTTTATGTATCTAGCATCTAATGCATGCATTCATCCATTCATGCATCATAAAATAGTCACGTTAACCTAGGCAATCATTTATGCATTCATGCATCATTGAATTTTTATGTATCTAGCATCTAATGCATGCATTCATCCATTTGTGCATCATAAAATAGTCATGTTAACCTAGGTAGTCATTTATTCATTCATGCATCGTTGAATTTTTATGTATCTATGGGTTGTTGAGTTGTGGTTCCTTAACTATGGGTCAAATTCTATATTGATCCCTAAACTTTGAAAAGTTCTAACTGAATCCTTAATTGCCCAAACGTGTGTAAATTTGATCTCTTAATTTGGACTATATTGACATATGTTTGGGTAATTGAGGATTTAATTAGAACTTTTCAAAGTTTATAAACCAATATAGAATCTAACCATATAGTTTAAGAACCACGTGTGCTATTAATAATTTAATGTTTGATTATGTAATTTAATTGCTAGAGGTTGTGAATGATATTATATCAATATGTAAATAGGAATTAATGTTTGATTATATAAATATGAATTGTAAGTCTAATGAATCTGTAGCATTGTTGAGTGATATTGTATCAATATGTTTAGTTTTTTTTTTTAATGCTTGGTCTTGTATGAGAGTGTTGTTTATTATATAATTTTATTGTATGGGATTGTTGTTTATTATTGTTTATTCTATATGATGTGAAATTCACTATGCAAATTATAATTCTAGATTGAATGTTGATCTGTATCTATTGAAATGGTTCCTTGGAATTGTATTTAATATGTATGTAGGTCATAGTTGTTAATATGACATATGCCTTGACAACGGTGGTGATTTTATTGACAGGTCTTGAATTAAAATAACTGATTAACTAAATAATTTTATTTTTGTTGCCTTTCAAGCTTTTGTTTTATTATTATTGGTACTTTAAAGTTGTGATAGTTATCAATGATATTCTGTCTTTAATTCATTTGTGACAGTTATCAATCATTCACATTTCCTTTATTAATGATTCCTTTTATCCTGCTAGTTATTTTGTTTAATTTAATCTTTCTTTTAAATCTTGTCAACATATAACGTTAGTTGTTATTTGCTTTGTTATAATTTAGCCTTTGACTTGTCATATTTTGTCAATGGTTCATGCAAGGAAGGGCTTATTTAAAATGTATGTAAATTCAAAGTGGCTAACTAATGGTTTAGATGTAAAGTGTATGTTTAGGGTTTTGTCAATTTGTGTTGTTTATAAGGCAGGCAGAACATCTTAAAATAATGAAACCTTAAAACGTAAACCCTAAAATAATCACTAAATCTAAACTAGGCTCATACAAAATCGAATAGGATTAGTAAACAAATCAAACAATTCCCAAACATGAAAAACCCTAAAAAAATTTTCGAAGCAAACACAAATAACAAACAACCCAAGTCATAAATAATGCAAAATTATCCAAAATCATAAATAAGCAAGTAAAAAAAATAACCATAAACAATGCTACTATCGTCCTCTCTCAACCTCTAACTCATGATATTCCTTTTTTATAACCCCAAAACCACGCAATCGCTTTTTGGCTAGTCCTCTCATTGAGAAGTAATCTCCCTTGGTCGATCTTCTTTTACAAGACAAGCAAAATCTACTCACGTCACAAAGTTCACTCATTCCTAAAAACGTCTTTCTCTTTCACATTGTTTCACAAACTTTTTTCTCTTTCATAGTATTTTTTAGTCTTTTACTATTTTTTTTAGTCTTTTTTCAGTTTTTGTCTGGTCAACATTCGTTTTTTTTCTTTTGCCTTTTCTATTTTATGATTAGTTTAAGAGTCGATAAAAAATTCTATGTAATGTGTTAAAACATTTAAAAAATTTCACATAATACTACTAGTTCAGATTATGTGTCATGTCATATAAGATTACAGTCAATTTAGATGGTCTAGCAGACAAAATGCTATATTGATATACGTTTAAACAATTAAGAACTTGATTAGAATTTTATAAAATTTAAGGGTCAATATAGAATCTAGTCTAAATTTTAGGAATCACATGTGTATTAACTCTTATTGTATTCATATTTATTTATTTTATATTTAATTTTTTATCAAAAAATAAAAATTATTATATCACAATTGATATTAATGTACTAAATGTAAAATATATTTTTCTATTTTTTGTTAGAATTTTAAATTAAATTATTTTTATATTTTATATTTTCATATATAAAGTGTTTAAAATTACCATATGTACACTAACATTAATAATTGATTGCAACTTAGTGGGTATCCGAAGTTCAAAAATGAAATGAATTTATTATTAGTATCAATTCTCCCTCTAAACGGCTTGTCGTTGATTTGCATTCACAAAGTAGGCGGTGCCAATTGCCAAACCCCTTCAAAATCAAAATGCAGAAAACCCGCAAAAGGAGGCAGCTTCAGCTCGATAGCCACTCCAAAACACCCAAAACCACCACTGAAGAGCCATACCCATCTCACCATAGACCCACTCATGAAGAATGTAGAGCCGTGAGAGATGAGCTCTTGGCTCTCCATGGTTTCCCTCGAGAATTCCTCAAGTACCGCATTCAGAGACTCATAAAAAATGAGTCCCACATTAATGAAGCAAAATCAGAGCCCTTGAATAACAATGTTGATGGGGAAGAGAGTGTGTTGGATGGTCTGGTGAAAACTGTGCTCTCTCAGAATACTAATGAGCTTAATTCCCAAAAGGCTTTTGCTTCTCTAAAGTCTGCTTTTCCCACCTGGGAAGATGTAAGCTTTCTGGCTTTTCTTTCATTTTTTTTTCTCGTTTTAGCTTGATGGGTATTTATGAATTTGGAGCTTCATAGTTAGTTTTCATTGATTTGACTTCATTTTTGGCTTCATTGTTTATCAGTTAATAACAAGAATTTCCTTTCCCTTTTTTTCTTAAATGTTTCTTCTTATGTATTTGCTTGATGAAGAATTGGATATATTTGGAACTTTTTGCATGTTTTTAATTTCTATTATAGCATGTTATGGTATTGTGTTGTTTTAACTTAAGATGCTTCTTAAGTTATGCGGGATTAAGGAGTGCTTAGTCATGAAGGGTGAATTTGAATATATATATATATATATATATGTATATATATTTATATATATGTATATTGTTCAGTGTTTTAATTTGGAGTCACATTTTAATAAGATGATTTGCGTTATATGTTGTTAACTTTGATTTTTATTCAAGGTACTCACTGCGGAATCGAAAAGACTAGAAGATGTAATAAGATGTGGAGGCTTAGCCCCAAAAAAAGCCTCTTGTATTAAGAATGTATTGAGCTGTCTGCATGAGAGAAAAGGCAAGCTATGCTTGGAGTACTTACGAGATCTGTCAATTGATGAAATTAAGGCTGAGCTCTCCAATTTCAAAGGGGTTGGCCCTAAGACAGTAAGTTTCCACAGATGGGCTTCAATATATATGTTTAGTGATTTGAACCTAGTACTTTTGGCTGAAGGAAAGGAAATATACCACTGCTTACTTCTTTTAAGCATTGAAGGAAATAGGAGAATGCTTGCGCTTTGGATAGTCTTATTTTTCATTTGGATGTGTTATCTGCATGCCTAAGATTAAATTTATTGCTTTCTCGTTCATGGCAAGTTTGCTTTTGTTGCTTATCTTTTTATGTGGTCACATTGGTTGTCATGGCATAGTCTCCTGCAAGCATTAAATCATTCTATTTTTCCTTTTATGCAGCAAGCAAGCAAGCAGGAAAAATGTATTTTTCCTTCACCAATCACTGACTTTTGGGCTTGAGGGCAAATAACGCTACTCATTAATGTGTCTTTGTGATCATGCAAACTCCATGCTCCATAGTATAGAATGTTTGTGCCCACTAAGTTGCAATTTTTACTCTATTTATAATGCTTGGCCTGTGTCTTTTCATTTTTCCTGTTTTTTTCTAAAATAGCATCCTATAAGTTCTGTAATCTTACTTGTTTAGATCCATAAATTCATGTCATTATTCAGGGGAAAAGAAACAAAAACTGCACAGTCATTGATTATTTTTTACTCAACCAAGGAATTAGCAGTCCAGCAAAATACTAAATGATATGTGCTATGAGATATACTGTATGTGATAATACTCTATTTACTGACATGATAAACCTGAACATGTTATTTACCAAATATATAATAGTTTTTTGACCTTAATTGCAAAAGGCAAAATGCAAGAATTTGTAGAGTTATGCACCTTTGGATACTGATGGCTGTGTTATGGGTTTTGGAGCCCACTCCAGCCTTATATTTACACATTGCTGCATCTATCCTTTCTCAGGGTCAAAACTACTTCCATCTTTATCTTTAATAGTTCTCTGATGGATTTTGATTCACCATTTCATTTGTCCACTGGTTGGAACCTAACCCATGAACGATGATGGATTTCCTTACCCTTCATCTTTCTAACCCCCAAAAAAAGAGCCCAATGAAAACTAAGTTAGTGGTCCATGAAAATATATTTAGTGAATGAGCCCTCTAGTAAGACCTATCTCTTTGGTCTAAAATATTTTTCTATGTAGGCATGATAAAGGGAAGAGTTCATGCCTGCATGATTAGATATAGTCATGCTGTTAGTGTCAAGTTATCAAGTCTCTTTCAATATATGAATGCCTCACAATTTGTTGAATAGAATAGAGTTCAGCGTCTTTTTTATTGCTTACTATAAAAGGCAGAAAGTGCTATAAGTGGATTTTGTTCTCTACCCATGGAAACAATTCTTGGAAATATTCCAGCATAGAGAATTGAACTAAGTATCTATCTTATGTCTTTACTTGACAAGCTCCGGGATCCTGCATCCATGTTTGATGAATTCCATAAGTATTTTTGCTTACATAATTGCATGTGTGTGGAAGCACTGATGTATGAATCTATCTTCTATTTTTATGGACAGGTTCATTGACTTTGCCAATGTCCTAGATGAAATCTAATTGAGAAAAAGCAAGTGGAATATAATTCAAAATAAGTTTTTAATATCATTGTTGTTTTTTTCTTCCAGATCTTCATTTTAAACTGAGATTCACAAATCTTGTCTTCCATAATTTATTTTGGCATGGTATCTGAGTTGAATTTTCACAATCACCAGAATATGATATTATTCTTTTTTACCATCATAATTTCATTGTTGCTTGACTTAAATTTATATGCTCATTCACATGTTATTGATATGAATTAAAAGATAAGTAAATAAAAAGTTAAACTAATAAGAAATCCATGCTAGTGTGCATGTTATTCATAGAATTAGATTGAGAACTTGATCATGATGTGGAATTGCCACATGTATGTTACTTAAAAGAAATCTTTATGTTGTAGACCTTGTATCAAACTGACTAGGTTTAGGTAGTATGTTAAAGTTCATAATGCTAGTTTTGCTAGTTTCTGATTTAGATGTAATTTTTTCTCTGTTTAAATTCTTCTGGAGTGTGGTCCTGTTGTTGATGTTATGATTCAGCTTCTTTTTTTTTTTTTATTGTGGATTACTTAATATTCTCAGCATCCAGATCCCCAGTTTAATCATATAGAAACTCAATACTTTGTGGATGGCAGGTGGCTTGTCTTTTGATGTTCAATCTTCAGCAAGATGATTTCCCAGTGGACACACATGTGAGTAGAAGATTGCTCCAGTTGTTTTAACTTCGATTATGAAACTTATTTTTTAATCTCTCAAATATCTCTGCAGGTGTTTGAGATTGCTAGGGCCATTGGTTGGGTCCCAGCTATAGCGGACAGGAATAAGACATACCTTCATCTAAACCAAAGGATCCCAAATGAACTTAAGTTTGATCTGAACTGTCTTCTGTATACACATGGTAAACTTTGCCGCAAATGCACAATAAAAGGAAGTAGCCATAAAAAGTTGGCACTCGATGATGATTCCTGTCCCCTACGTTATTACTTCAAGAACTCTAACACGAACGAAATCAAGTAATCTTTTTACTTCAATCTCAGGTCCATAATTAACTTCACTTTGTTTTCCTTTTCTCTGCACGGCAAAAAAAGTATTGCTCTTAATTATTTGGTTTTGAGACTTTGGACCACAGGATTAGAAAGAAAAATTCATGAAAAAGTTGCACATATAGTGACATCAAAGAAGGTGAGTACCAATAAACATATGAAGGAGACACTATACGGGCACCCAGATAATGTAGTGCCTGCATAGTGCATAAGCAGTCTTCCTAAAGAAAAAAACAAATTTTGTAGTACATTGTGAAGGAAAAGAAGCGTGGGATGAGAAAACCATCCAATAGTTTATACTTGTCCCAGAAGGTTAAAAGTGTAGTATCCGATAATTGGATGCATAACTTTTTTTGCTGAAGTATGAGTCTCAAATGACTTCACATTGCTATAAAGTTTCCTTATTTGTATAGAATTTGGTGTTTGCACGATTTAAAAAGATATGACTAGATCTCTTGGTTATCCTTTCTTAGTAGATATGCATACATCATTATCCACTTATTCTTCTTTTTGTTTCTTAAGCAAACTGCTATTGTATTTTCAGTTGCTGGAAGAGTTGTTATAAAATGGAATGGGTGTAAATGAATAGAACGTTTGACAAATAGTTCGTAAATAAATTTGATTTTTGTTTATCTATGTTCATTTATTAAGCTTAACAAACAATTACGAACAACATTTTGGGGTTCATTAATTAAATGAACATATGAACATATCACAAACATAACAAAATTTATTTTGGTTCATTTACACCTCTAATAAGATAGTTTAATTAGAGCCAAAGTCACACTACTACAGGGATCACAATTTGCAGTTACTGTTTGTATAGAAGGATGTAGATATTTTTGGGGGTTTTGGAAGTTAGTGCTGTCCTAGCAAGCATTCTCATCTCTTTTTGACTTTTGGCATTACTTTAAATCTTTATCAAATGTTATCACTTTAATTATCATATATGAATTTTAATATGTTTAAGTTGTTATGTAATTGCATATTGAAGTATTATTGTTCGATAAGACTTTTGATATAAAATAAAGTGGTATCAAAATAGACTGCTTTGATATGCATATCTGCTGAGGAATATATTAAAACTTTTTATTGCTGAGTTTAAATATCGGGATTGTAAGTATTGAAATTTGAACCCCAAATTTATTGGACTTCACCTTTTAAGAGTGATAGCATGTATCAATTGATCTATTTTTGGGTTCATTTCTATGCTTTATTTTATGTCTTTTGCTGCTAATTTCTGGGGAAAAAATCCAAGCAGGTTGTAGCTTGCATCACTAAATCCCAATGAGCTTTCTATAAATAGGAGAAGCATACTAGGATGTCTTAGACTTTCTATATAATAGAATAAGAAGAATAAGATAAACGCATTGCTGCTTCCAGCCTTTTCTTGCTTGTAAAAGCCACATTTGATGGTTTCACTTCAAGTTTCATATGGGAAAGGAACGATTGAGGTTATTCGGGTTTGAACTGAGTTTTCATGAAAGGCATGAAAACTGTCTTGATGGATCCGAAGAAGTGAATGATTCAGGTAAGTCTTCCGAGAAAATTTTGTCTAAGATGGGGAAAACTGTTAAAGAGAAAAGTGTGACTAGGAAACTGGAGAATAAGAGAAAGTATGAATGTCAGTTTTGCCTCAAGAAGTTTACAAGCTCACAGGCACTTGGAGGTCACCAAAATGCCCATAAGTCTGAGAGGCAAAACAAGAGAAGAATGCAGCTCCAGCCAAAGAGCACAAACTCGAGTTTTGCGGATCCAACTCCCCAAGATTACAGTTTTGTGGGTCAACATTGCTCTCTTCCATCTTCTAATTCTTTTTCTTCTTGTGCACCTGAGTTTACACTGTTCAAGGAGTTTCTAAATAACTTCAAGTCGCTTGATCAGAATCAAAATTTATACTTCAACATGGCTGGATTCTATCATTCTTTTCCTTTGCCTTCTAATGACCATTTTGAGAAAGGTGCTTGCGGAAGGCACATTGTCATCAAGCCGTCTCCATCTTATATTTCAAAGGATTCTCAGAGTCTGTATAATCGGTTAGGACTTGCTCCACCAGCTATCCACAGCTCCTCCAGAAATTGTAATGATAAAGTTGAAAAAAGCCGTTCACCAGTTTACAAATTATCTGGTCTGGATTCTGAAGTATGATGGTAATATCATAAATTTGTCCATGATATCATAAATTTTTCTAGAAATTTCCCTCTATGCTTTCTTTCTTTTTTTTTTCCCTTTGCCATGTAACTTCCTATTAAAAAGGAAACAGCATTTTCTGAGTGGATTATTATTATTGTTTTCGATCGGAAGATCAATTGCCTGTAAATTCCTTTTCGAGAACAATACTTGACTATCTTGCTTGCTTATGTTTTGTGTGAGAGTTATTCTTCTATTAAAAAATCTGCTGTTTACAGTGCGCAAGACAGGGCACGCTTTGCTTACATCAGAGTCTCGTATATACAAGGTTGAGCTTGTAGTTTAGACCCTTAAAGTGACGTTATCGAGTCAAGTATTGAGTTTTCTTTAATCTTATATTCAAATTGAACTTTTACATTCAGATCGAATGTTTAACATGTTATAAGAATTCAAGTGTTCTGTGATTCATGTTTTATACCCTTTTCTTTGCTCGTTGTAGTTACACCTACACATGACGGAGGTTTGCGCTTATAACCGTTCTGAGTTTGTCATATGTAGATACGCCTACAAGGGATGGAAGTATGTTATGGAAGTATGTTAAAAGTGATATTAGTTTATATTCAAGTTAAACATTTTTACTTATAGCTAATTGATTTTAGGCCAATACTTGTATCATTTGCTAATGTGTTATGTGTACTGAACAGTATTAAGATAAGCTCGACCTTAAACCTTAGGATGCCCATAATTTTTCCCCTGAAGTATGTCAGAAAAGAGAAAAAGCGATATTGCGATTCTATTGCTTGCTACGAAAGGAGGTAGGCGTCTTTACATTACACTCAAAAGAAAAAAAAACAGAAAAAGTTGTCAAGAGCCGCAAATCTTGTTCGGAATGCCAGAAAAAGCAGGGGTTGCTGTTCGTACACCAGCCCCCCTGATTGCAATATTGCTTACTGTTACCATATGTTTGGGCCCCAAAAAGAAAGAGGAACAAAAAAGGCAGTGGAAAAACTCACTACTCTTTGTAAGTTCCATCACCATGAATTGTACTTTCCGAGCTGCTGGCTTAGGATGAATTTTGATAACCCAAAAGTGCACCAATCAGTGAGGGAAAGGATACTTCATATATAATTTTAATGTTGTTCACTGTTTTAGAATGAAATAGAGAAGAAAAGTTTTGATTCAAATTCTTATTTACTTGAAAAGCCCCTCTTAAGAGAATTCTGATGCAGAGCATCCTTTATCATTAAAATTATTACATGATCTTGCTGTAGTCAAGCAGAAATTAATCGTGGTCGTCATCATTTGCAACAACATTAAAGTACTCGTCCTCACATAAAATCGTTTCATAAAAAAGAAAATTATAATTATAATAATACAATACGATCTCTTCATCATTTTAAGCTCACATCCATGGCCATCACCAGAAAAATGAATTCAAAAATCTAAATCTGGATTGAGTTAAAAGCATCGCATTTCCGCCTCACTTCTCCTTTCCTCCCTGTCTTAACCAACCCCATAACGGCTAAGCTTCTCCATCGCTCGAGCGAAATCATTGAAAAATGCTGTCTGGTTTGTAGCATACAATTGTACAAAAGGCCTGGTTCTGGTGTTTTTCAATAACGCATTATCTGATTCCAATAGTCCCATCCCCCTCTGCAAGTTCTGGTAATACATGTTATCAAACTTTGATGGAGTCATGGCATCATTGAAAGCTGACATTGCAGGATTCTTCTCATAATTTTCACATACTTTCTTTAAAGCCGCAGCATACTTTGGATGATAACTAGGATCAGTTGGAGTATTTTTGTTGTAGTTCTAAAGCCTGTAAGCAAACTCTTTGCAATGAGAGAATCCAATGGTGTGGCCGCCAGAAAGGGCAACCATTTCTTGAACTGTGAATTTCTAGGATTCAAGCATCCTGATTATCTCATCCATGCTTGCTTTAGCCCTCGGAAGGTTGCCTTCGACGCTGGAGATACTAGATACAAGCCTGTCCTTGTGGCCAAGCTTAACGGTGTAGAAAGGTCCACCAGCGATGTTGATGACGTTACGAGTGGCAAGGGCGAGGATGTCAGCGCATGAGACAATGCCAGGGCAAGAGAGCTCGAGAGCTGTCTTTGCACGTACAATGACATCAAAAGCACCTCTGGAAGAGACAGGTTGATGTCTGCGTCACGTTTAGCCCTGTTAAATGCATTGGACGAGATGAGGACTGAAGCAGCACAGCCTCCTACAATGCAGTCATGGACGAAGAGACGTAGAGTAGCAGCAGAAGTGGTGGGGTTGCTGATATGCTTGTTGGTGACGGTTTCTAGTATGACATTCTCCAACCCAGGGCATGAGGATTTGTAATACTCAGGGGAGAGCTTGGATTCTGAGAAGGGGATGGAGATGAAGAGGGGAATTACGAGGAATAGAAAGGAAGGAAAAGCCATAATGAGGGAGCGAGGGACAGAAATTAAAGCCTTTCCTTCTGCTTCCCGCTTCCCGTCCCTGAAGGGGTTTTTCCCCTACGGGGAGGTAGAGAAAAAACAAAAGAAAAGAAAAAGATGAAATTCTAAAGGGAAAGGCAAAATGAGAGATGGAAAAATGTGGTGAATTCCATAGATGGGAGGTGTTTTAGGAGAAGCAATTTTCAATACAGGGCTTTATTTGTCAAGAATTTTGTTTGTTTTTTTTTGTTACATCATAATGATAAAATCTTTGATTCAAAATCAAATTTTTGATTTTTTTTAAACGGTTTTAATCACTAAATTAAAAGTTCGAGGACAAAAATTTTGTTTATTAATTGTTATCAAAGCTTTGCATTATTAATTTTGGCGGATTGCAATTAGCTATTGAGTGTGGATTGTGGAGTGCACGCAATCGGCTCATTTTTCATTATTTCATTATTTAAAAGAGATATGATAGTTTTAAATATTAAAAATAAAATAATTTAAAAATAATAATACATTATGATATAATAATTTTATATTTTACATAAAATAAATATAATATAAATACACAACTAATCATATCTACTTTAACATGGCCTTAAATCTATTTTCAAATATGAAAATTTAGAGTAAAAAGTAAAAAAAAAAATTTGTGATTGTGCATTATATTATTAAACACATAAAAATTTTGAAGAAAAACATATGTTAAATGGGAATTTTCAATTTTGGTTGAAGAAAATTATTTATTGTTTGTGCTTCAAAGCAGTTTGATTATGTTAGAAAATAAATATACTTATAAATGATCTGCCAAAGGGTTTTCTTTTTTCAAAATAAAAAAAAAAAATCACGCCTAATCCATTCTTATTATGAGAATTTCCAACGAAATATTTTAAATTGAATGCAGAAAAACAATGAAATCCCCTTCTGTTTTATCCCCTCGAAGTTAAAATATATACTTTCGAAAGTACTCGTTTATACTTTATAATTTATTTACTTTGTGATTAAGCTTCTTAAAAGTATGAGCTTCTAACCGACGTGACAATGATTTTTTTTTTTTGTGATTAAAGTAATTATAAATTTAGTTCAAATCATAGTGATTTTTTATTTCAATTAATTCTAAATCTTTACAAAAATGTTAAAAATTAGTGTTGTCGTCTCTTCTCCAACAAAAATATTAACCGAAGACTGACTTACATGTAACAAAGCAAGTGCACTCTTATCTAACATTTCAGTAATACATGAAACCCTTAGTGACATTTCAATAATTTATAAAAAATTAAAAAAAACTCATTCAGTAAAATCAATTTTTTCTTCCATCTAAAACTCAAAGTCACTCTTTCGAAAAAAGCTTAAAATAAAAATCCAAATTTATTTTTAGAGATAAATATACACTTAACCTTTATATTATATATTTTTTATCAATTTGATATTTAAAAAATAAAATTATTAATTTAGTTCTTAAACATTCATTCTGTCATATATTTTTGTAACCTGAATTAATGTCATTTGTTAACATGCCACGATTATCTAATAAAATGTTAACGAGTGTAAAAAAGTTTAATCACATCATAAATTATTAGCATTAAAAGAAAAATTTTTTAAAAATGAACAATTCTAAAAAAAAATTTTAAAAAATTTGAAATATTCTAAAAATTATAAAAATAAAATAAAAATTGAAATATTTCAAAAATTATAAAAAATTTATGAAAATATAAAAATCTAAAAAATTAATAAAATTTCAAAAAATTTTCTTAAAATTAAAAAATTCACAAAGATTTAAAAAATTAAAAATTAAAATATATATTTAAAAAATTCTAAAAATTTTTTAAAAATTCTAAAAAGTTTTCATTTTTTTAATTTTATATTTTTTAACTTTTCATAATTTTTTAATTTGTTGGATTTTCATTAAAATTTTAAGGCTTTTTATTTTTTTATTTTTATAATATTCTTAGGATGTTTCATATTTTTTAAAATTTTTAGAATTTTTTAAAATCTTCTCGATTTCAAAATCATTCCTTATTGTATCAAGACGGATCAAAAGTCATTGGCTATAGATTATTTTGACATCTCTATCAATTAAAACATTTTGTTGTAATATTTATTTAATTAAAAAATACAAAAAAATGAAAGGGAAAAGCCAAAAGGGGTGCCACGTTGATACTTTCATTATTTTTTTTTCCATAAAATTACTTTAATAAAAAAGACAAAAAATGGAAAGGAAAAATGAAAACAAAATTAAAAAAGAAAAGAAAGCTCATTGGGTATTAAGTAAATATTACAATTGAATGGGGATCCATGTGACACGAAATGTTTTATATTTTTATTCATCGATTCTTTTTATTAAAAATAAAAAAAATAAGCGAAAAAAAAGTAAATTAGGGTGTCATTTGAACACCAACATTCTTTTTTTCAAAAAATTATCTAAATTAAAAAAATAAAAGATAGCATGTTAGACCTTGAATGAAGATCAAACGAAAATAAAAATGAACCATTTATATAATGAATGGATTGATTGATGAATTATATTTTAATTATGTATAAATATATTATTTTTGTTAAATTAAGATATTAAATAATTTTTTTTATTAATATAATGCATATATATAATTAAATAAATAATAAAAATATAACTTAATATATATAGTTAAGACAAGACAGACTGATATAAACCTACATCCTATTGGACCTTGATTTTTGAAAAAAATCTCAATTCGATCCCAAGTAAAAATGTACCTATCAAATCCAAACAAATTGAAACCTATAAAATACAAGTTGCTTTGTTATTCATTCCTTCATTGACATTTTTCTTAAAAGTTTATTCACTGATTTCTTTTGTCGTAAATTATATGATTAAAAAAATAAAAAAGAAAAATTAAGTTCTATATGTACAAATTCATTGGTTTTTTAATAAAATTATCTAATAAAAATAAAACAAAAAAAAAATCGAGTTACCATACAACATTAACAATGATGAACTTTGTTTAATATCCTTATTAGAATGAAAGAAAATGAAAGATAGAAAGATAAAATTAAACTAAATAAATAAGAAACAAATGGGATAGACTCATTTACCTTCATAACGTCATTATAATTAAGAGTGTAATCGATCAAGTTTGAGCCAATACAATATTAAGTTTGAATTTAAGTTCGAGTTAAAATTTGAGGTTCGAAACTCAACTCGAATTTGATCAAATTTTATTTTTCTAATTCGAGTTTGACTCGAGATAAAAATTGAGCTACTTGAGCTTACTTGTTTAGGCTTGATTAACATGTAA